TGCAAAGCGGTCCCCGAGCCTCCGCTTGGTTTCCCCGATGTAGAGGAAGCCACACCGGGTACAGCGGATGCAGTATACCACATTGGCAGATGTGCAGGTGAACATCTGCTTGATGTGGAAAGTCTTCTTGGGGCCTGGGATGGGGGTGAGGGAGGAGGTATGGGGGCAGGTGTAGCACTTCCTGCGGTTGCAGGGAAAAGTGCCGGGTGTGGTGGAGCTGGAGGGGAGTGTGGAGCGGACAAGGGAGTCACGGAGAGAGTGGTCCCTCCGGAAAGCCGATAAGGGTGGGGAGGGAAAGATGTCTTTGGTGGTGGGGTCGGATTGCAGATGGCGGAAGTGTCGGAGGATGATGCGTCGGATCCGGATGTTGGTGGGGTGGTACGTGAGGACGAGGGGGATTCTTTTTTGGTTCTTATTGCGTGGATGGGGTGTGAGGGATGAGTTGCGGGAGATGTGGGAGACACGGTTGAGGGCGTTCTCGACCACTGAGGGTTTCAAAATCTCCCCTCCCCCTTCCGCATCCCAAAACCAGTCCAGCTCGTCCCTGCCTCCCTAACCTGTTCTTCCTCCCACCTATCCCCTCCTCCCACTTCAAGCCGCACCTCCATCTCCTACCGACTAACCTCATCCCGCCCCCTTGACCTGTCCGTCCTCCCTGGACTGACCTATCCCCTCCCTAACTCCCCACCTACACTCACCTTTACTGGCCCCATCCCCGCCTCTTCGACCTGTTTGTTTCCTTTCCACCTATCCTCTCCTCTATCCATCTTCTATCCGCCTCCCACTCTCTCCCTATTTATTTCAGAACCCCCTTCCCCTCCCCCTTTTCTGATGAAGGGTCTAGGCCCGAAACGTCAGCCTCTCTGCTCCTATGATGCTGCTTGGCCTGCTGTGTTCATCCAGCCCTGCACCTTGTTGTCTCGGATTCACCAGCATCTGCAGTTCCTACTATCTCTGATGTAATTTAGCACCAATGGATTAGCCACATGTAGACTGGCTCTGAGAACGATTGAAGCAAGCTGCATTGTCACCTTCGAGGCACAGTGGGGTGATAATAGCTCTATGAGGTTAGACTAATGGGGCTGGATTTAACACAATAGCCTGACCTGAGGTTAAAATGTTAGGAGAAGCCCAGCAGTGGTCCCCAGTGCCGTGAACATTGGGACCACATTAAGTAGTTGTAAGCAATAATTCCAATACACACTTGGGCAAAAGTCCCAGAGTTTGAGAGCGTTGATAGGTGAGTGACAGCCATTCTGGCTACATGGCCTCAATATACAGTGTGGGTGCTTGACATGTTACTTCAGCTGAGCATTTCAGAATTTTGTATTTTGTTCTGCCGTCTGATCTTCCAAAGTTCCAACTCTTACATTCCTAGAGCAGAGTGGGCGCGACTTTTGTTCTGTGGTAGGCAGTTTGGTAGGCAGACTTTACTATTCTTCAATTCTAGACTGATGTTGGAAGTCTGCCAAAGGCTACAGTTGCCCTGACAATTCTTGGATGTGTCTTATCGTCAGTCGGGTTAGGGTTAGATTAGACAGCTGGAAAGAATGTGCTGCGAAGATAAATGTTGCTGCTCATTTCTGCTCGTAAACTTTGGGTTTGAGATGGAGCTTGCCTGTTGCAGGTTTGTCCATAATTTTAGTTTTCTCATGTTGATCATGAGGCTGCGTTGTTGCATGCATTGGAGAATATGTCAGTGGTAGGTTGATTGTCCAACCCTGACTGAGTGGCTCGTGCAGTGTCATTGGCAAGCAGGACATGGTGAACTATGATCTTGGAGACCTGGGGCTTTTCCTGAAGTGTACCTAGACTGAGCACATTCCCATCCATGGGATATCTGATTTTGATGTCAGGGTCACCATTACAGAAGGTATCAGCAGACATAAGAGGGTTAGTATTATCACATAGCCCTGTTCAACTGCATTAATGACTAGGAATAGCTCTGAAGTCTCACTATCATCCACAACATGTGTGAGCATGGCACAAAAAGAGAACCATTGAAAGAATCAGAGAGGTATAACAATAAGAACTAATTAAAATGTCTGGGTGATCTCCAAGATAGAGTATCAGAAGAATTAGGATTGGACCTTGTACATTGGTTATTACTTCCTGTTCCAGTCTGAGTTCAAGAATAGGGTTTTAGGTTGTAAATGTCACTCTGTTACTTAAGGGATTGAGTAAGAAACTGAGTGACTACAGAACTGCCAGTTTAGAACATATAGAACAGTACAGCACAGTACAGGCCCTTCGGCCCATGATGTTGTGCTGACCTATTATCCTACTAAGATCAATCTATCCTGTATACCCTACATTTTACTATCCTCCCTGTGCAAGAAATCCATATGCCTATCCAAGAGTCGCTTAAAAGTCTCTCAAATATCTGACTCCACTACTACTGCCGACAGCGCATTCCTCACACCCACCACTCTCTGTGTGAAGAACCTACCTCTGACATCTCCCCTATACCTTCCTCCAATCACCTTAAAATTATATCCCCTCGTAATAGTCATTTCCGCCCTGGGAAAAAATCTCTGACTCTATCTATGCCGCTCATCATCTTGTAAACCTCTAGTTTAACATCAACTGTGGGAAGGTTGCTGAGTAATGCAGTTAATTGCTAGCAGAACCTCAAACTATCATCTAACCAGGACAATCTCAATCACATTTTAGGCTCAAACCATAAACTCTACCCCAAGATCTTTAGCAAGAAACTGCTAATTTTGTTTGACCTATTTTTCCTAACTAACCTGTTTTTCAGTGATGTTATTACACACCTCTGGAACAGGTGGGACTTGAACACAGGCCTCTTGGTCCAGAGGTAGGGACACTACCACTGTACCACAAGCCAGTTTGATTAAGGACCATGGTCTGTGTATTAACAACTTAAAAATGCAAAAAAAGATGTGATCTGACATCTTCTCCATAATTGAACATGTCTATTTTGCACAGAAATAGTGTTTTACCCAGACAGCATGTTAAAGGACTGATGTTAAATAATCCTCAGATGTGTGCTCATCCATATGCAGCCTCTACCTAAGTTGTTTCTCCTCCCCAGGTAATCAAATTTTTCTGTTTTTTTTAAACTGACATAAATACAGCACATATAACTCACACAAGTTACCATTGGACCAATGAGACCATAAGACATGGGAACAGAAGTAGGCCACTCAGCCATCGAGCGTCCTTACCATACAGTGAGATCACGGCTGATCTGATAATCCTCAATTCCATTTTCCTGCCTTTTCCCAAAACCCTAGACTCCTTTGCTGATTAAAAATAATGAGCCAGCCTCTACAGCGCTCTGTGGTAATAAATTCAACAAATTCATTATCTGCAGTAAGATAACACGGGGTAGAGCTGGATGAACACAGCAGGCC